CGGGTCATGTGACCTTCTGTAATGGACAGTCAAACTTAGACGGGTCATGTGACCCCCTGTAATTGACAGCCAAACTTAGACGGGTCATGTGACCCTCTGTAATGGACAGTCAAACTCAGACAGGTCACGTGACCCTCTGTAATGGACAGTCAAACTTAGACGGGTCACGTGACCCTCTGTAATGGACAGTCAAACTTAGACGGGTCATGTGACCCTCTGTAATGTCGTTGTATGTACTAAAGCTTATGCTGTCCAGGTTTCAGACTCCATAAACTTGGACTTGGAGCCAAACAAGACTTCGTAAATATTGAACCCTTCAAAAGGCACCTGCTTGTCCGGAGTTACTTATCAACACTTAGTAGATTTTCCGAAATATACTTACACTAGCTCGTCCTAAAACTGCTTTGTCACATATAACATTCATGTCGGTGTACTTGTTGTTTGTTATCTTCATTTCCTGAAGTTATTAAATTAAATTGCATCATTTAGAAAACACTTTCATATCATGTTTAAAACTTAAGGGTTTTTTTCAATTCTTTTCCCCTTAATATGCACATGTAACTAATGATACAGATAATAAGTGTTAAAAGCAGGTGTATCATACTTCATCACAGGATTATATGTCAAGAACATGCTGCCCCTTAATGATTTATACGTTTTCTTCACAACAGGTTTTACCTACAGAGCCAGTACTATTTCCGAACAGTAATATCAAAGTTTTACTTATGCACATTAAATGTGTCGCAACATTTTAAGACCGACTGGTCCCTTTGTCAAGCAATGACTGAGCTTGACAAAGGGACCAATCTGTCTTGAAATGTTGCTACACCTTTTATCTTCTGTAATACTTATAATGTTGGTGTATAAATTAGAACTTAGATATTACAATTTCCAAACTGATGAATCTTATTGAAGATATTTCTGATCAGCTGTCAGATATTTTGATACCTATACTCCTGTTTTGCAATGTAATAAATCATGTTTCAGAATTCATTTCAGAATAATTAAGATTATTTTATGTTATCAGTTCTTTCAACCTATACATACTTTTTTTTAAATGAAATTCATTTTGACCTCAATTCATTGTATTTTCCTGTTTACACAGCGCGTGAATGATTAAGTCTATTATCGCTGAACCTGAAACCAATTATGTAATTTTAATCAAACTGCTTCTAGCTGTTTAAATTCACACTGTATGGGATATATAATTAGAAAATAGCTTTTTCAAAATAAAATTCCTACTATAAACCTTAGTGTGTATCTGGTATCTTAACTACATTAAGTCCTGTGAAAATAGGGGCAATGCTTAATTAAATTAGCATAATGGTGTTTTTAAAAAGAGCCGAAAGCTGTCAAATCTACATTTACTTATTAAGATTCTGTTGATTTAAGAGTTTATGACTTCAAACAGACTTCAATCATCATCACATTTATACAAGTGTGTGTGTATATATGTTTAAAGGCTAAAGTTTACTTTTTCCATGATACAAAGATCAAATAAAGTATTGTGTCAATAGCTTATATGTTCCTTTTGCCTGTGGGATGTACCTATGATATAGTACATAGAGGTAATCCTAAAATTGCTAGAAGTCTCGCAGAAACACAGTGATATATACCTCAGGTAATAACTAGGATAGAAACACAGTGATTCACATAGTTCTGCATACCCCAGTCTATCCACTAGTGGATGTTAAGTGAAGGTCTGTGTACCCCAGTCTATCCGTTAGTGGATGTTCAGTGAAGTTCTGTGTACCCCAGTCTATCCACTAGTGGATGTTCAATGAAGTTCTGCATACCCCAGTCTATCCGCTAGTGGATGTTCAGTGAAGGTCTGTGTACCCCAGTCTATCCACTAGTGGATGTTCAATGAAGTTCTGCATACCCCAGTCTATCCGCTAGTGGATGTTCAGTGAAGTTCTGTGTACCCCAGTCTATCCACTAGTGGATGTTCAGTGAAGTTCTGTGTACCCATGTCTATCCACTAGTGGATGTTCAGTGAAGGTCTGCATACCCCAGTCTATCCGCTAGTGGATGTTCAGTGAAGTTCTGTGTACCCGTGTCTATCCACTAGCGGATGTTCAGTGAAGGTCTGCATACCCCAGTCTATCCGCTAGTGGATGTTCAGTGAAGTTCTGTGTACCCCAGTCTATCCACTAGTGGATATTCAGTGAAGTTTTCCGTACCTCAGTCTATCCGCTAGTGGATGTTTAGTGAAGTTCTGTGTAACCCAGTCTATCCACTAGTGGATGTTCAGTGAAGTTCTGCATACCCCATGTCTATCCACTAGTGGATGTTCAGTGAAGGTCTGCGTACCCCAGTCTATCCACTAGTGGATGTTCAAGTTTTCCGTACCTCAGTCTATCCGCTAGTGGATGTTTAGTGAAGTTCTGTGTAACCCAGTCTATCCACTAGTGGATGTTCAGTGGAGTTCTGTGTCCCCCAGTCTATCCACTAGTGGATATTCAGTGAAGTTTTCCGTACCCCAGTCTATCCGCTAGTGGATGTTTAGTGAAGTTCTGTGTACCCCAGTCTATCCACTAGTGGTTGTTCCGTGAAGGTCTGTGTACCCCAGTCTATCCACCAGTGGATGTTCAGTGAAGGTCTGTGTACCCCAGTCTATCCACCAGTGGATGTTCAGTGAAGGTCTGTGTACCCCAGTCTATCCCCTAGTGGATGTTCATTGAAGTTCGGTGTACCCCAGTCTATCCACTAGTGGATGTTCAGTGCAGGTCTGTGTACCCCAGTCTATCCACTCGTGGATGTTCAGTGAAGGTCTGTGTACCCCAGTCTATACACTAGTGGATGTTCAGTGAAGGTCTGTGTTCCCCAGTCTATCCACTAGTGGATGTTCAGTGAAGTTCTCCATACCCCAGTTTATCCACTAGTGGATGTTCAGTGATGGTCTGTGTACCCCAGTCTATCCACTAGTGGATATTCAGTGAAGTTTTCCGTTCCTCAGTCTATCCGCTAGTGGATGTTTAGTGAAGTTCTGTGTAACCCAGTCTATCCCCTAGTGGATGTTCAGTGAAGTTCTGCATATCCCAGTCTATCCATTAGTGGATGTTCAGTGAAGTTCTGCATACCTGTGTACCCCAGTCTATCCGTTAGTGGATGTTCAGTGAAGGTCTGTGTACCCCAGTCTATACACTAGTGGATGTTCAGTGAAGGTCTGTGTTCCCCAGTCTATCCACTAGTGGATGTTCAGGGAAGGCCTGTGTACCCCAGTCTATCCACTAGTGGATTTTCAGTGAAGTTCTGTGTACCCCAGTCTATCAGCTAGTGGATGTTCAGTGAAGTTCTGTGTAGCCATGTCTATCCACTAGTGGATGTTCAGTGAAGTTCTGCATATCCCAGTCTATCCATTAGTGGATGTTCAGTGAAGTTCTGCATACCCCAGTTTATCCACTAGTGGATGTTCAGTGATGGTCTGTGTACCCCAGTCTATCCACTAGTGGTTGTTCCGTGAAGGTCTGTGTACCCCAGTCTATCCACTCGTGGATGTTCAGTGAAGGTCTGTGTACCCCAGTCTATACACTAGTGGATGTTCAGTGAAGGTCTGTGTACCCCAGTCTATACACTAGTGGATGTTCAGTGAAGGTCTGTGTCCCCCAGTCTATCCCCTAGTGGATGTTCAGTGAAGTTCTGTGTAACCCAGTCTATCCCCTAGTGGATGTTCAGTGAAGTTCTGTGTAGCCCAGTCTATCCACTAGTGGATGTTCAGTGAAGTTCTGCATACCTGTGTACCCCAGTCTATCCGTTAGTGGATGTTCAGTGAAGTTCTGTGTATTCCAGTCTATCCGCTAGTGGATGTTCAGTGAAGTTCTGCATACCCCAGTCTATCCGCTAGTGGATGTTCAGTGAAGTTCTGTGTAACCCAGTCTATCCACTAGTGGATGTTCAGTGGAGTTCTGTGTACCCCAGTCTATCCACTAGTGGATGTTCAGTGAAATTCTGCGTACCCCAGTTGATGGATTCCATATAGAATTCACTTGTCCGGCCATGAGAGTAATAGATATTCAAAAGAAGAGACGACCAGATCTAGATAACACCATATGTTGTCTGATCATCTCCTCTCTTAAAGTGAATCTTCAGTTACATGAAACATTTCATTTCTTCCTGGCATCTGTTGTGTTCGTCTACTAATTTACAGGGTCTATTAGAATTGATATAATTTCAGATTTATTATCTATATTTACTACAGATATATATCTTATTTCAAGTCAGCTAGCCCTTAATGAAATATTTTTGTGCTCATTAAATGTTTTATTCACATTGAAGTACAGTATCTGTATTTTTATAAAAATTAAATAAATGCTCTGGTATTTCTTGCTGTATCGACTTTTCAATGTTCACAATTAATTTTTAATACCTTAAGATTAAGAATTGCGGATGATAACATTTTGAATTACCATTGAAATTTTTTAAAGTGTTTTTAAACATCCTCATTCTTTCATGAAAATAAAATGCTCAGCTTTAGATTCTTTATCATATTTAGCTGTTTAATACCAATAAGATAATGCTAAGTGGGTTTGTCATCTTTACCAGAATTAATTTTGACCATCAAGGTTTGAGAACATTCACACGTTCTGTATTCCAACATGCACATCATTTCCTCCTCATTGCTTTTTCTCAATCAAAGTTAAAATCTTGTTAACTTGAGACATATAAGTTTTAAAACTTGTACACTTTTCAGAATTGTATTTAATGTACAGTTTTCCTATACTGTAGGTAGGTAGGCTAGTGACTTTGTGGAACATTTTTGTCTTGAGGGTTTTTTGTTCACAAAACAGTTGTCAATCAAGGTAAGTTGACAGTGACATATTTACGAGCAACCAGACCTGCCTCTAACAGATAACGGCTACCTGTAACGTTACCTGTACAAATCAATGATTTACCGTAGGTGTATAAGCTAGTTACCTGACAGAGAAGCTTATGGACGACCCTGACAACACTTGAAAGAGATCTATATCACTCAAAAGCTTGTACTAGGGGGCCTTAGCTGTGTCGCTGTACCCATTCACATACACATATGCTTGTGAGTGGGTTTGTTGTCACTAGTACAGTGAAGGCTAGGAGAGACAGGGGGTCTCGCTGTGGGGCGATTGTTCTAGTCGTAGGTACACCTAACGGATTATAGCTGCGTGTTGATGTGTTAGTCTATTGGGAATTACTATTACTTGGATTTATTTATACAGATCAAGGTAAGTTTCAATTATTTATAAATACTGCTGATGGACTGACTCATTTAAAGAAAAAAAAACTTAAATTAAATTTTACAACTTTAGGGAAATCAATGAAAATGAGAGAATCGGATAAATCATAAAGGGATATTGTACACTTAATATATTCCACTTTCAAATGATTTCTCAGTTATGACTATAAAATGTGTTATCCAGTATACTAATTACCTGGGTACATATATAGTGGTTTGTGTGTGATGTACCCATATAACATCTGACCATTGACATCAACTATATGATAAACACATATAGAATGTAATCCTGCCAGTAGAAACCTGTAGCTATAGTTAACTGACATATAATCATTTTATAAAAATTATGTGGGTTGTTGCCAGAATAAACAAAAATAAATATATAAACTTAGGTGTCAGTATTTAAAATAATGATTTAGGTGTATCCAGCATTGATACAATGATCGTACTGCCTCTCTTTGATAAGCTCGGGGCTCACTGCGTTAAAACCTGCGTCAGTGAGCCACAGACATTCAATGTATATTATACAGAATCGTGAAAAGGAGTGTGCTTGGTGCTAATAAGTTATGTCTTGACTTTAATTATGACATCACCAGGGAAGCTTTTAATTTGTTTAGAATCCAAATTTTATACTCTGTCATATTTAGAAATGCTTGATCTGTAACCATCAGTATCCAGTAAAGCGTGAGATCTATCATTATATAATGGTGCTGATGGTTAAACACGTCGCTATCCTGAAGTATACATTTTTCGGTATGCCGACAATTGTTGAGCGTGTGTACGTTACAGTTTGGGTTATCTTGGTGTATAATTTGCTGTGATTATTTGGTTAGATAACAGAAGATTTATGTGTTGGTGTTAATGGGTATAGGATCACTGTACTACTGTGTGCACCGCCAGACTTCCAGGATGGAACATTTCAGGCCAGCGTAAGGCCATATACTGGAGGGAGCACTTCAATGTCTGGCTATTAAACACATGGCAGTAAACCCTAGCAGATGAGAGGTTTACTCCGGCTGTAGTATATACAGATATATATGTCAAGGAACCCGGCTATGACCATAGGGGCCATTATATAGAGAAATATATAGCAAAGCTACAAATAATCCAAATAAATATTCCCAATGTGTGACCAGTACAGGCCGATCAATGGGTATGAGAGTATTTGAAGAGCGTGTTCCTGTGTCAAAATGGGAGATGGATGCATACTTGCCAACTCTCCCTATTTTGGAAGCAGATCTGACTCCCGATTTTGGGCCCTAAAATTGAGTATTTTCAACCAGTGAATTTGCTAAATTATTTATATTTTCAAAGATCTGATGATTTCATCTGAATCAACAACTCAAAAGTGATACTTTTCCTCTAAGGTGTATAAAGACACATTCAATTAAATTTTCAATTTAGAGCATATGTAAACTATCAAAAAGTTGGCAAGTATGAAGATCATGGCCATTTTGAAGCTCAAAACCAGTATACATTGGTAGCTTCCCTGTCCATATCTCGAAACATCCCGTGTTTATTCTGTAGGTATGGAAATAAAGAGCCCTTTTGCAAATTTAATAATGCCAAGGTGTTCTCGTGTCAAAGGGGGAGAAACGGGAGATGGCTGTTTCGAAGCTTGAAACCAGGAGTTTCCCTGTCAGTATTAGGTGACATCACATGTATTCTGTAAGCATGGCAGCTAGGGGTACTGACTGAGGACTAGAGGGTAAAATGATAGGTCCTATCTTTTTGTAATTGACGAATTTCATCTCCTTGTGTGGTAGTTATCAAAATCCTGGGGAATAGGAGGAGTCTTACAGATTAGCTTATAATTAAAAGAAAGTATTGGAAACTAAAACTATTTCTGTGTAAGGTAATGCTGGGGAATGAGATTAATATTGAGGAAGCTCCATGCTACATAAGAAACATCTTTTACTGCTGTTGTAGAGGAAACTTGTATTACTGATAGGGAGATTTGTCAATAATTCAAATATACATCTATTGTTATGTAATACTTACATGTGTATGGATAAATGTCATTTATAATTAAGACGTACCTTAATGTGGTTTGTATTTCACAAGTCTCAGACTATTAGGCTACCCTAACTGTCTAGCCCTGCCTGGTATGAACATTTTAATTATTTGTGGAATTTAACACACGTTACAGCAGTGAATATTAGTACAGCAGTGAATAGTAACAGTTTCACAGACGTCTCTTCTATCTGATAATGAGGCAGAGTAGCATTGTCCGAGTGGGATCCCTGTTATTGTACTTAGGGGTTATATTCTCCTGTCCGAGTGGGATCCCTTTTATTGTACTTTGGGGTTATCTTGTCATTCGTGTCTGATATTTTTAAGGTAAATTAAGTTTACTCCATGAATTCAACACAATAGTGAAAATTCCGGACAAGTAACACTGCAGATTTAACAATTTTAAACTGTTTATTTAACATTGCGAAAGTTTGTTTATAGGTTCCTATTAGCAGGAAAATATTAAAGGCCACACAAAGCACTATACTGTGTACAGAAGTCGCTATAAATGGTAGGATGACAGTCTTAATCATGTTAAGGCCGTCTCTGACAAAGAGGCAATGATATACCGGTACAACCATTTAAACCATTTAAACACCTCTAAGTGATCTTCTGATCCTGTATTTCACCTTCATGATCAATACTTACAACAATCGGCTATCGACATGGATATATATATAATGGACTGTTCGGACTTAGTGGTTACAACTATGTAATAGGATGTCATTATGTATTGCTCATACCAACCTTTGACAACTACGACCTAGTCGTCTATAATTGGAAGGAGATTTACTGTCTTGTATCAACTTACACTGTATTTAACCTGTAATAATAAACGAGTCAGGAATTAGTCAGAAGTTATGTGAGATATTGGTTGGGGGTGGGGGTGATTGGATGCTGGAAATGTTTACCTGTTATATAAGAGTATTAGAGCTACGATATGATAAGATGGTTAGAAAAGAGACATATATAGGGGGTGAGCTTAGAACAAGCATGGACTTATATATCACTGCCTGGTTTGGTTTGGGGTGGGATTGATTGGATGCTTGACATTTTTACCTGTCATATCGTCATATTAGAGCTTTGATATGTTAAGATGGATATGATGGTAGAAAAGAGCCGTTTATCGGGGGGGGGACATTTGAACTCTTCTAGTTCAAAGGTCAAAATAGTTCATTTTGAAATTTCAGGGATGAATGAGTTAATACCATTCACGGGTTTATCACTGGTAAAGAGGTAGGACTGAAGACATATAGCGTAGGTATGGTGTAGGTAGTTGATCAACAGTCAATCCTGTTTCCTTCCTGTCTGAGCTGTCAGTGCACACACATAGTAACGGTGACATCAGCAGCCTGTTGACATAGGGCAGCCTGGTTTATATCACAGGTAAATATTGATTTGTTCGTTAAGGGTAGGAAATTACAGGTATACAGTATACATCAAAATATAAAAGCTCAGAAAAAATACAAGTACATGTAGTAATACATCAAAACATAAAAGCACAGTGCATTTCTACAATATAGACCAAGGTACAAAGCTAGACGAGTACTGTTGATCGCCGACTCTGAAACTGTATAGAAGACTCTAAAAACATCTAGAAAGTCTTGTGTCGTGTCTGTAAATTCTACGTCACGAATAGAGGGGCTCATTTAATTATATATCAAGCATGTCTAGAGTGTAATATTGTAAGGTGTAAATTAACTAAGTGAAGATCACGAAAATAATTATACTACTCCATGTTTTATTTTATCGCATTAGTTCCATACGGTAACCATTGGAGTGACCACATCCTATGATAATGTAAACAAAGTTTAATTAACTACTAGGGACTTGTTTTTAGGTTACCTGACCATATAGGTCATGGTAACCTATTGTGATAGTCTTTTGTCCGTCGTCGTGCGTTAACTTTTCCTTGTGAACACGATAACTTCAGTAAATGTTAACCGAGTTTGATGACACTTTGTATGCAGCCATATATCAATAAGATCTCGGACGAGTTCGAAAATGGGAATTATTTAACTGTAACTTACAGAGTTATTGCCCTTTGTATTAATATTATTATTGGACCTTGTGAACAAGAAAACTTCAGTAAATATTAATCGAGTTTGATGAAACTTTGTATGAAGCCATTTATCAAAAAGATATCAGACGAGTTCGAAAATGGGAATTATTCGACAGAAACTTACAGAGTTATTGCCCTTTGTAATAATATTATTATTGGACCTTGTGTTCACGATAACTTGAGTAAATATCAACCAAGTTTGATGAAACTCTGTATGTAGCCTTATATCAGTAAGATCTCAGATGAGTTCGAAACTGGGAATTATTTGACAGTAACCTGCAGAGTTATTGCCCTTTGTCATTATATTATTATTTGTCCCTGTGATGTTGATTGACATTACACAAGAATAGATGTAAATTCATGTGGTACATTCATGACGCATTTTTGCTACTAAAAAGGTGCTATTAAAATTTTGTGCCTTATTTAACAAATCATTGATTTATGCTTTTACTTGTTTCTTTTAACCAAGAACAGAAGACATACAGTCACCAAGTTTGTTCAAAACAGACCCCTTGGGTCAAAATTTGAGTCCCACCCATTTATTTCAGTTATCGTGTTCACAGGGTCCAACAATAATAGAATTACCAAGGGGAATAACTATGTAAGTTATGGTCAAATTGGTCTGGTATTCAAACTCATCCAAGATCTCATTGATGCAAAGCTGCATACAAAGTTTCATCAAAATCGGTTCATAAGTTATTGTGTTCACAAGGAAAAATGAATAGACGATGCGGCAAGGTCACTCGGACCGACGAAAAGTATGAATTGGCCCCTGGATGACAGACCTAATTTGAATCGGATGTCAGGTGACCGTTAAAGCCCATGGGCCTCTTGTTTATGCTTTGGAAACCATAACGCTATATTTCATCAATATGTATAAAATATTAATATAAGCTTTATATTCATTTTAAAAC